GCTTCAACCTTTTTTCAGAAAAGAATTACAAAACATAGATGCAGAGGAAGGAGGTACAGCCTTACTGTGCTGTGAGCTGTCCAAGCCTGGGATATCAGTGCAGTGGAGGAAGAACAAGCTGCCTCTGAGAGCCAGCAGGAAGTATGAGATGAAGCAGGACGGCTGCCTCCTCCAGCTTCATGTAAAAGAGCTCAAACCCGAGGACAGCGGCTACTACACGTGTCAAGCAGGAAACGCAGAAACTGGTGCAAATCTGTCAGTAAAAGGTACGTTAAACTATAGATTTGCATTTGGTATATTTTCAGGACATTTTAACGTCTAAAGCATCACTCGGGTAATCCAGGAACATTTTTATTCATTACCTTTACTTCCTCTATTTTTTTGCAGAGCTTGCACCATTTTTCCAAAAAGAGCTGCAGAATATGAAGGCAGAGGAGGGAAGTACAGTATCGCTGTGCTGTGAGCTGTCCAAGCCTGGGATATCAGTGCAGTGGAAGAGGAACAAGCTGCCTCTGAGAGCCAGCAGGAAGTATGAGATGAAGCAGGACGGCTGCCTCCTCCAGCTTCACATCAAAGAGCTCAAACCCGAGGACAGCGGCTGCTACACGTGTCAAGCAGGGACGGCTGAAACTACTGCAAAAGTGTCCGTGACAGGTATGCAAAACAGAATCCACCATATAAACACACACGTTTCATTCTGTATGTTGCTATCTTACATTAGCTGTTGAAAAGATATTTTATACGACTTTTGTTTATGCCTGATGTATTGTATGTATCCTGTATGTATGATGACTTTTTCTCCAGAGCGCCCACCTGTTTTCAAACAAGATTTGAAAGATGTGGCTGCCGAGGAAGGAGGCACCGCCTTGCTGCACTGTGAAGTGTCTAAACCTGGATTATCAGTGCAGTGGCAGAAGAACAAGCTGCCTCTGAGAGCCAACAGGAAGTATGAGATGAAGCAGGACGGCTGCCTGCTCCAGCTCCACATCAAAGATCTTAAACCTGAGGACGGCGGCAGCTACTCGTGTCGAGCAGGAGCTGCAGAGACAGCTGCAGCTCTGACAGTGAAAGGTGTGTGCAGCGAGAAAAGACTTTTCCCAATCATTTGGTAAAGCTCTGATATTAGTGCTGCCTTCTGTTATTCTATCCTGTCCTATTATTTGTTATTCATAATCTATTAGTTTAGTTTTTTTTAATAAACTCACACACTTGAAATATTTGTAGTTTAAAGAGAAAATATAGTTAGTGATGTATTAGCATGGTTCCTTATACATTATGAATTTTAAATTCCTTGCCTATTTTACCAGAGCTGCCTCCTTTCTTCAAGAGAGAATTACAAAATGTAGAAGCCGAGGAGGAAAGCACAGCAGCCCTGCACTGTGAAGTGTCTAAACCTGGGGTGTCAGTGCAGTGGAAGAAAAACAACACACCATTAAGAGCCAACAGGAAGTATGAAATGAAGCAGGACGGCTGCTTCATGCAGCTGCTGATTAAGGAACTCAAAGTGGAAGACAGCGGCAGCTACACGTGCCAAGCAGGCAAAGCAGAGACCAGCGCAACTGTAACAGTGAAAGGTTTGTGCATGAGTGCATTTCAGCTGCATTCACGGAGTCTTAATATCAGTTTCTGAGCACTTGTGGCACTTTAGCATTATGTAAGCTAAATCGTAGCATTCTGTATTTCTTAGTTGACCCTGTATCAAACTATTTGTTGGGCTGTTCTATCCCACCTAGAGCTCACTCCATTCTTCAACAAAGAATTAGAAAGCATAGAGGCTGAAGCAGGAGGTACAGCTTCCCTGTATTGTGAGCTATCTAAGCCCAGCGTATCAATACAGTGGAGAAAGAACAAGCTCCCACTGAGGGCCAGCAGGAAGTACGAGATGAAGCAAGACGGCTGCTTCCTGCAGCTGATCATCAATGAGCTCAAACCTGAAGACAGTGGTAACTACTCTTGTCAGGCAGGAAGCATAGAGACCACTGCAATGGTGCAAGTAAAAGGTACGTTGATTTATTGCTGATCGGCGAGGTTACAAGAAGGTAAACACACTCATGTTCATTTCCTTTGTCCAGGACAACAACCGACTCCAGCAGAGGCACAACCTCCAACAATCATGCTGCAGGCAAAAGAAACAACTCCTGCTCAGGAGACGCAGAGACCAGTGGTCCCAGAGGGTAAACCAGCTCCTCCTGAGCCGAAAAAGAGGGCAAGAAAAGCATCAATTGCAAATTCAGAAAAAGACACGGAGCTTGTTTTTGACCTCAGACCGTCTGCGCTGAAGCATGATGATAAAGTCCAAAAGGACACTCAGCCTGCAAGAGCTGTAGAAAAAGGCACGGATGGTGCACAGAACGCAGCACATGGACAGATTAATAAAGTGAAGGACAGGGAGGTGAACAAGAAAGCTGATAAACCTGTGAGACTACAGGAGACTACAGACTATAGGGTTGACGGGGAGGTCGAGGAGCCAGCTAGGCATTTGGAAAAAGAAACTGATGCTTTACCGGAGATGAAACAAACAAGACGACATACTGAAGAATTAGCTAAAGCTGACCACGAAGAAGTTCAATCAGACAGGGCTTTGGATAAAACATGTTTTGCACAAAGGAAACAAAAAGAAAAGAAACCTGGAACTGAAAACAGCCCCGAACAACTAGAAATACATTTGGCAAAAACAAGTGGAGTTGAGGAGAAGCAGAAACATCCAGCTGCAGAAGTAGGAACGATAAGCCAGGATGACAAGTCTCCTGTGAAACCACCGCAAGGGTTGATTAGCAAAGAATCAATGAAAGATCAAAATATGACATCTTTAGAAAATGAAGGTGAACTAGACAAGACAGAAGGAGAGCCTTTGAAACCACCAACAAGATCTAAAGGAAAACTGACAGATGGAAAGCCACCAATCAAGTATTTACTGAAGGATGGTGAGGAGATCCTTCCTACAATGTTAAAGATGACACAGATCGATTCTGAAGAAGACAGCAAACAGAGAGGTCGTCTGAATAAACAAGTGTCCAAAGAGTCAGAGAGAGGAACAAAGCCAGAAAAAGAGCCGACTGAACAACCAGAACGGCCGGTAGAAAAGGAAGATGCGTTTACTCATCCAAAGCCTCCTGTGAGGACAAAAAGCAAAGTAAAAGGTGTAGAAAAACAAGTATCACGGGACACGGAGACGGATCGAGAGGAACAAGAGCCAACAACAGCAGTGGTAAAAGTTCAAGACCAACCTATGAAACAGCTTCTAAAGCCGTTAATAAAACAGGCCGAAGAGAAACCAGCATTTGAGAGGAACCAGTCAGCAACTGAGGAAACAGAGCAGCCTGCCAACCCTCCATTAAAACAGCCAGTTCAACCCATGAGAAAAGAACCGGAAATGGACCAGGACGTGAGACTGGCAGTGAAGCCAACGAGGAGGGAGGAAGAACAACAAACACAGGTGGCAGAAGACATTCCCCTCCTTTATATTTCTGAAGATGAAACTTTCTCAGAGGCTCTGACTGAGATACCAGCTGCCCACAGGGATGTCCAGCCCCACGAACCCTTTGTTGAGATTGCACTCCAGACGACAGAACCATTGAAGGAGTCTCTGCCGGAGATCGATATCAGCACCGAGGATGAACCACAAATGCAAGAGGCTGCGGTCAAGATCCAGGCTGCCTTCAAAGGCTTCAAGACGCGCAAAGACATGCGACCTGTTTTTAAAGAGGTTTTTAAGAACCAGACAGCAGATCTTCACAGTACGCTCACACTAATGTGTGTTGTCGAGGGAAAGCCCAGCGCAGTACGGTGGCTCAGAAACGGGCAACAAATTTGCAACGACCAGAGATGCAGGATTACGACCACAGATGATGGAGAATGCACACTTGTGATCAAGAACCTGTTAAACAGCGACAGAGGAATTTATACCTGTGAGGCGGTCAATAAGTTTGGTGTGACCTCCTACAATGGAAACATAACAGTGGTGCAAACCCCCCAGCCTGCTCCTGTGGCACAGAAGCCCATACACCCACCTCTTGCAGCCATTACTCCTTTGCAGCTCGCCCCAACAAAGCCCGCAGCCCCGCCCAAAGACCAGAATGAGAATCTGCCACCGAGTCAAGCGCAGGTGCCCACGTCAGCAGAGGACTATGCAGAAAGCATGAACGTGTCGCTGTGGGAGGCCTACACGCTGACAGAGCATGCGCCCCAGCAGACCCCCCAAGAGAGGAGACGGTCCTCTGTCATGGCTGCCAGCTCCAGTGAGTGACTTAGCTTTAAAAACTTGACTGGGTCACATTGAAGCACTAATGATTCATTACTCTGCCTTCAACAGTGTCGAGTCCCTCCGATTATGACACAGCTCCCGATATGATGGAACCTGTTGAGATGTCCACAATCACACCGAGGTACCAGATAAAACATTTGATTTATTCTATGAATGTCATTTTGTTTGGCTGTAAAGATGCCAAAAATATGAATATTGTCACAGGGAAGAACCAAAACCAACAGAACAAGCAGCTCCGAAGGATGATAACGAAGAGACAACCCAACCTCCGAAGATGCTATTAAAGATCAAAGGTCAGCAAGGTTATTTATTTAATATATTATTTATGCAACTTTCTGAGCAGGTGTACTGAAGCTATCCTCTATTACAAATGTTTAGGGGCCCATGACAGTAAAATGAGGACACCATCTCCAAAACATCGTGCCCACACGCCCTTGGACAGCACAGTCTCTGGATCTGAGTCGGAGGGGGAAGAGGACAGACGAGAGGTGATTTACGTTGATTGGATGCACGTTATCGTCTATTTTTATGTCCTTTTTAAGCATCAGTGGAACAAATCTGAGAAAGTCACTGTATGACAAAATAATATTGCACACGTCCCAGGCATAAATAATGTATTTGCTGTTTTCTTCCTCAGACGTCTGAAATATATGTGGCTCGAGCTCACTGTAGCCCTAACAGTGGCAGTAAGGAGAGTTTTATTCTGAAGGAGGGCCAGTTTGTAGAGGTGCTGGACTCTGTTCATCCTGACAGATGGCTGGTGAGGACCAAACCCACCAAAACCAACCCTGCTCGGCAGGGATGGCTGTGTCCAGCATACCTGGAGAAGAAGAGAAAGGTGGGATGTAGACATCCGCATGACAAACATGTTGAAAATCTATACTGTTAGTTTATTATTATATCAACAAAGACGTTGAGGATTTAAAAAATGAGCTTTTAATAGTTATAACTGTCATTTTAAACAGGAGACCTTCCCTCAGCTGAGAGCACGTCAAGAGGATCTTGATGGAATTGGATGTACAGGAGAAGAGTACAGGAGAGGCCTGAGGTGCGTCATACTGCCAGATGAGCTTTACTAGTATTGGGATACTGGATGACTTATACTGATGATGACTAAACTGTGTCAGAGTAAATACATGCATACATATTTCATGTATGTTCATGCACTTCTACGATACTTTGGTGTTGGTCATCACAGCTGGTCCTGAATAACATCTTGGCTTCTGTGATGAATCCATTTGTTTCCCTGTATCTTTAGTCAGTTGATCCAAGGCCTGATTGACGGAGAGGAGGAGTTTGTGAGAGAGATGAAGATGTTTATATCTCAGCAGCTAAATTTTCTGGACTCCAGCTACCGCATCCCCGTTAACGTCCTCAACCAGAAAGAGCTCATTTTCAGGAACATCAAAGACATCGTGTTGTTACACGAGAGGTGATACACACGTGCTAGATCAAAGGCAAAACGCATCAACGTGTCAAATCACAGTAACAGAACTCGTGTTTTCTCAGGTGTGTCCTTCCTGGGTTGAGGGAGTGTGCCACAGATGATGACGTGGCCATGCATCTGATCAAACACAGAGAAGACTTTGAGAAGTATCTGCACTACATGGTGGGTCAAGCTCAGGCAGAGGCCTGCATCGCTGACAAGGCCATCCAACAGTTTTTCAAGGTATTCACAACTGAATTCAAGTATAAACATTTAATGCTGCTGAAACAAAGGTGTGGAGAGCAGGATTACTACATCAGTCTAATGTGTTGTTGTTTCCTGGCATATTTCAGGAGTTACCAGAAGCTGGTAAGCTGGACGGTGCTGTTATGGATGTCCTTACATTCCTCCAGCAACCAGTGGAAAGAATTCAAACTTACCAAGCATTACTAAAGGTCAGCATATAGATTTAATACCATTTAACATTTAAGGCTATTAGGGCTAATCTTCTTTAAAGTGTGTCACATGAAAAGTTCAACTTTTTACCTGCAGGAGTTAATCAAGAATAAAGCTAAGAGTGGCCAGAGCTGCCATCTGCTGGAGGATGCTTTCTCTTTGGTGTCCTGCCTTCCCTGGAGGTCAGACAACCTGCACAAGGTGTCTCTGATTGAGAACTACCCGGCTCCTCTTATTGCCCTGGGCGAGCCCGTGCGTCAGGTGGGCAAAAATGACTTATATACAGTTTAGATCTGGTTCCAGCATGAAACAAGCAAACCAAAAAAACTGTCGTAACATTCTAGTTGTGCAGAAACGCACAAATGATTTCACGTCTTCTTCTCTTTAGGGATCCTTCACAGTGTTGGAGGAGACTCCAGAAATTAAGACCACCTCTAGAGGGCATCAGAGACAAGTCTTTCTCTTCAGGGAATGCATTGTACTGTGTAAACTGAAAAAAGACACCAGCATGAACCGAGACACCTACACCTTCAAGAACAAAATGAAGGTAAGGTCATTTGTCGTTCTGCGTCGCACCACGCCGTACACTTACTGCTTTTCCTATTCTTCATGTCGTCCTCCCACTTACTCGTCCTCCTCATTGTCTCCAGCTGAATGATGTGGAAATAAAGGAGACTGTGGGTGGAGACGAAAGGTCTTGGGGCTTGTGGCACGAACACAGAGGCTCCATAAGGAGGTACACGCTGCAGGGCAGCTCCACGCTGCTCAAACTGTCCTGGCTTAAAGACCTGAAGGAGCTACAGCAACGTTCCAGCCTGCCTACTAACAGTAAGTCTGTTAGTCCAGGTACTGAACATCGAACATTTTTATGATAAAACCATAAAACTAAATACTGTTTCATTCATTAACCTAACACGGCAACATTCAGTTCTGAAACGCTGGATTAAAAGTTATTTCAGTGATAAACAGTCAAAGATAAACTGATGGGTCCAGTTACGCTGTGTGCTTGATGTATATTTGTGTGTTTGCATCCACAGGTCCCCCAGTGTTTGGCTCACTGCTGTCTGACTGCACATCGAAGATGGGACAAACAATCAAGCTGACCTGCAAAGTGTCAGGATCTCCAAAACCAGAGATCAGCTGGCTCAAAGGTTTGAAAATAGACACATAATAGAAAATTATACTTCACATGGTTGCATCTGTTTGATGTTTTATCAGATCATATTGTTTGCCCTCATTCGCATACATATCTTGTTATTTATGCCGTCGTGTATCCACATTTTGCATTCAAAGTAACTCTGACTTATATGAAGAACTGACAGTTAAGCCAACTTTTACATACTGTGCTGAACACATTTATCAGACGACCACCTAATGTGAGGCTTACACCTGCCCTGAAGTACCAGCATCATTTTTATGCTTCTGTAATGGTTAATCCAACATTTAATACATTTGTGTTTTCGTGTTTTTATATCGGGTTTTCTTGTAAGTTTGTTGCGCACTTCATCACGTGCCAATCCTTTGTCATCTGAACTCGTGTTAGGTATAAAACTGCATTTCACCTTTTCCACTTTAAAAATCAACCCAGTGTCTCCAAAAGTGGATTCTGTTCATCTGGACGCAGCGTTTTGTGGGAGAAACGTTTGGTCACTCATCCAGGTGACTGCTTCAGTCTCAGCTGACTGCAGGTTTCAATCTTATAAAGAGTACATATGATGACTGAAACCAGCCCACTGAAGGAACAATGGGCTGGGAGGTCAGTTCCTTCATCTTAATTATGCAAATTATCTTCTGAAGAAGTCACCTGGATGATGACGAAACGTTTCTCCCACAAAACGTTACGTCCAGATGAACAGAATCAACTTTTGGATATTTACTTACCTGGATGATTGAGATGCATCAAGACAACCCAAAAAGGTGGTTTCACTTTCAGGTATTACTGTGTTCCTAAAAAGAAAAGAAAACGTGTATTTGTGTGACATGTCACGGAGACAGTGTCCAGAATAGCAGACGAGTTTATCACCACATAATTGAGTGTTATGGTCACAGTGATGAACCTACCTGGATCCTGATCCCTTCCTCCTAGATGGCCTTCCTTTGGAGGACGACCCACGTCACATCATCACCGCAGACCGGTCGGGCTCCTGCAGTCTCATCCTGGACAGCCTCACTGCGGAGGACTCCGGAGAGTATGCGTGCTACGCTACCAGCTTCATGGGCAGAGCTGGCACTCTGGCTAAGGTGGTGGTGCAGGGTGAGTTACCAATCCGAGTTTAAGCTATGCTAACACTGGGGCTCGATTGATATGTGCGCATGCGTCAGACGGCACGCAGCCTGTTTCAGCTGCTGATGCTTTTGTCTCCTTACTTTAACTTTTTCTTACTTTTGTCTTTGTCTTTTACTTTGTATGTTAGTGTTTGTTTTGTCTTTTCAAACATGTGGATCGAGAAAGTTTTGGTTCTCCTTGTTGTCAGGGAACTACTTTGTATAATTTCTCAGCGATTGATAAAGTTTTGTGATGCTGATTTACTTACAAACAAATCTGTGCGTAAATCACGCGACTGTTTCACGCACGTATCCATGATTGATCAATATTAGGAACACATTTAGACGTAAAACAAATAAAGAACTTCTTGGTTGCCTTAGGAATTTAAACACAAATCTTTAAAATGAATACTACACCTACTACACCTACTACTGCTTTCACCATTACTTCTACAACTAACAACAACAACAATAATTATTGTTTTTATTATTGCCTTTTGGTTATTATTTACAAAAATGTCCTTTTTTTTAAACAGCATAAACAACAAAATGCACAGAATTGCAACAAAAAGAAAACATGTAAATTAAACAAATTACTAAATGTAGCGATGTGGCCTTTAACCTTTGTAATTTAAACATATTCCCCTATACGTTATTTTATTTTATCATAGCTTAAACATTACCTTTCTTCAGGATGACTTCCATCACGGCAGCGTGATTTCTTGATGCTGAGAATTTGGATCTTTCTTTTCATTGTAGTGAGTTTTTGTTTTTAGGTTGACACACGGCACCTTGTCCGTGTCTTCCACCTGTTTCTCTTCTTTCTCGTGGTCTGTTGGGCTTTTTCGTATCAACTTTGTGTTTTTTATTTAAGCTGCAGTGATCTCAGGGGAAATCATATTCGTCGCTTTTTATTTATTGATTTATTTTTAAATGTTTCGTCACTCCAGTCGAAACACTTTGAAAAGCTACACCTCTTCCGTCTTACTCCTTGGACCTCAGACAGCATTGTGTAATTTTCTATAGTCTGACCTTATTCCCTGCCTGAGAGGTGCGGGCTTCGTTCTTACACCATAGTCACCTGTTTTGCCATTTCACATCTGTGCTTCTTTCTGCAGAGAAATGGAGCGGGGCAGTATGCAGATAGTATGCAGATAGTATGCTGATTCCACAACGCTGCTGTGTCTGAATGATTTTGATTTACTAACATGCAACAACATACACCGTTATGCACGTTTCATAAATCCAACTTTAAATTTGCCTACAAAGGGTAAGGGTAAGAACATTTCCCCTGAGAGCTCCGGAGTTACTAGAATAGAATAGAATAGAATAATCCTTTAATTGTCCCACAAGGGGAAATTTGGTTGTAACAGCAGCCAGAAAGACACATATACAAACAAACAGGACACAGGAAAGAAACATACAGTTTTATATTTACATCAAGGACAGTGGTTACTATAAACAGAGTACTGTACAGTTATTAAATTAAATAAAATTACAAATAAGAGGCAAACCCAGGTTGTAGTGTGAATACTTACCTCTTATAATATTAATATAATAGCTGCTGCTTTTGGTTGTTTCTAGGCTAAACCTGATCTTTTCATGCTTCTTTTCTCCAGCTCCACCCAGATTCGTGAGTCGACTGGAAAGTGCTTGTCTCATTGAAGGAGAGGACATCCAGTTCTCCTGCTCCACATTCACCACTCCGTTACCGAGAATTAGGTATCGCAGCGCAGAGCTGACCGCTGTAGTCGCTTTACGATTTTGCAACTATTGTGTTTCTGAATGCAGCGCTGCTTGCTCTTGACAGGTGGTTGAAGGATGGCAAAGAGTTGACTGACCAGCAGAAATACTTGATTATGAATGATGCACGGAGCGGGATCCTGTCTCTGACCGTCGTCAGGGCAACTGAAGCAGATATTGGGCAGTACGAGTGTGAGGTATAAAACATCGTCCATGTGTGAACACAGCTGGTGTCACTAATGTCAGAGCTCTGCCTTTGATATGTATGAAAATGTTTTATTTTGTTCAGCTTTGGAATGAACTTGGTGGCGTCAAGTGCAAGGCAGGTTTATGCCCCGCCTATGTCCCCCCGACTGACCACGAGAATGACCAATCACAGGACTTACCTCCTAAAGGTAAGACAGTTACAGCCAATGAAGTTAACATCCTCCACCTAGGATGGGAACCCATAAGAGCCTTTTTAAGTGGGTGGGGGTCACACTGTCACTAGTTCAGCTGCGTTGGAGAAAGGGTGAAGCACATGCCATTGTCCAGTCACCCTGTTCTTACATCACACCATGTGACATCTCTTCCCTTCACTACAAACAGTTTGGATCAGTTTCACCTTTCCACCCTTCATTCATTTGATCAAGTTTACACCATTTTCAGACTTTACTCACGTTTTCCTTTCCCCGTTTCACACACACTCACATCATGAATAGTTCCAACCACCCTACCAGCTGTCACTAGATTCCTAAGGATTATGGCGTTGGGTGTAGTCTGCACTGTAGCTGCATGCCACAGAGTTGATGCAGTTTCCATTTGCACTGTGCAGCAAATGCAAAATCCTAACTATTAACTATCATATATCACACGAGATAAAACCACGTCAACATTTATTCACCATCAACCCATTTCCCATTTGGCACGTCATGAAAAATGCACACTTCATATCCATATCATCTCAGTATCTGTAACTACCATCTTCCAGCAAAAACCAACTTACACATAAATATCTCATCCTCTCTAATACTAATCTAAAACCTGAGTCATTGTCTGTGAAGCTTGTCAGTCATCCAGGTCATCGGAGTCTAAGGAGCTTGGAAAGAAAGGCGCCTGGACTTCTTTAAGTTGCTTGAAGACGTTTCACCTCTCACCTGAGAAGCTTCCTCAGTTCTAGGGTCAAATGGTGGAGAGTCCCAGATTTAAGCCCTGTGGGAGTGTCCCCCCAAGTGTCACCGTGGGGATGTGGGGAAAGGAGGACCCAGGCGTGGTGCTCTGTGTATAAGCAGTGCGTTTATTTACAGTGTGGTAAATATCGATGCACAATTAATCCCCGTGCTCCCCAAGACTCCCGTGTGTGTCTTCCAGTGGCGTCCGTGTTCGTGCTCCCCGCTGTCGTGACTCTGCACACCCTGTGCGTGCTGTCCTTCCTCTCCACGCTCCTCCTCCCGCGGGCAAACACGATCAGTACTTCCTGGATTAACACACTGACTTGGAAGTTTCACGCAATGATCCCGCGTCGGAGAGAGCTCCACCACACTCTCAAGTAGCTCCTCCGACGAGGCCTGATCAGCTGCAGGTGTGTCACGGACTTCAGGTGTGGCCAATCACTTGCCAGGGCCACACCCACACACCTACATACACACATATATCTACAAGCAGGGAGAACGAGGGACGGCAATAACAAAATACATATATAATAATAATAATAATATAATTCATAACTGCTCCGGGACCTTGGGTCGCTCCGACCCAGGACGCTGACACCAAGAGGGACATGGACCCCCTAATGATCCTCCACCTAATCGCACGGCCAAGGTGTGTAAATCTGGGACTCTCCACCATTTGACCCTAGAACTGAGGAAGCTTCTCGGATGAGAGGTGAAAGTCCAGACGCTTTTTTCTTTCCAAGCTCCTCAGACCTGAGTCATTGTTGATCTTCTCTAATAACTGACTGTAGAGCTGTAGCACGTCACCCTCTGCATGTATGGGACGTCTGAAATGTTTTAGGGTCACATGGTGTTCTCAAAGCTAACATTTGTTCTGTTGCCATAACGATGGGATCTAGTGGCTACCATTCAACATAGACACCATACCTTACTGCACAGCATCCCATGAGAAGACCCCGTATGCAACGTTTTGTGTGTTTCATCACATTTCCACTGTTCACAGAAGGCATGGATTCAAACTAAACAGATAAATATACAAAGCTTGGAAGTAGCTGTTACTGAATATTATGCAGTGATTTTCCAACTCTGCTAGTTTTGCTACAGAATCCACACTTAAAGCAGAGCAATACAGTAGAATAGAGCAATCAGTGTAAGTATAGCATGTACGATCTAAGTATATCTATATTTTCAGGACTGTTGACGCCATGTTTGTCCTTCCATTGTCCGTAACTTACGTATTTTCTCATCTTCCCTGTACTGGTCCTAAAGCAGGAGGTTCCTCACATGGACAGTTCCATGTAAGTCATCATTGTCATGATAACAAATAACCACTCAGCATCCTCCTCTCTCCTCTTGCCAACGCATGCCCAGCTAACTCTTCACTCCTGTGAACAAAAGATGGTCATGTGCTGGGCAAGTGTCACTTTTGCGCCCGTCTAGCAGGGGGCATGTGTCCATGTCCTGTTGATGTGGTGGGTTGGTAAGATCCAACCCAGAGGCTGAAGGTAAGGATCACAGCACATTGTTGCTGTTCCTGCGCTGTAAGGTAATGTACCCTACGTGTTTCCTTTTTCAACATATTAATAAGAGTAAAATCCTTTGAAATATATAATTACTGCCATTGTTTTCTGTCTGAGTTGGTTTTGATCTTCGTAGATCCCGACTCAGAGGGCTGGTCTGCTGCATTTGTGAAGAAATGGTTACAGGCTGATTTCAACCCAACTTCTATTGCAAGGATGCTTTTTCCTCCCGAAAGTCCTGAACAGTAAGTTCAGCTTTATGCACTGACATTCGCTTCTACATTACATCCCGATCATGTTTTGAATGTTTGTCTCTGTTTAATGGTTTGCTTGTGAAACTAGATCTGGATTTTAAGCATTTACTGTGTAATAACCAGTGTTGGTCAAGTTACTTGAAAAAAGTAATCAGTAACTAATTACTGATTACTTCCCCCAAAAAGTAATCCTGTTACTTTACTGATTACTTATTTTTAAA